ATATAAGTAATTTAAAATATTTATACTTATAGACAAATAAATATTTGATTCATTCCATCTCTTCCATAAAATACATAATTAAGCAGATGAAGAAATAGTTAACTTCCAGCTCATATATGAAATCATGAGCTGTTGCATTGGTTTGGTTTGATTTTTAATCTAATGGAAGTGGTACAAGTGAGGGAATTCTTTTGATATTTCTCATACAGGTTCATTCCAATTTTTTCTTTCACTGGGAGGCATCTACCCAATTTCCAATTTTTGATTTTAATTTAAGTCAAATTTGATATTTATCCAGGTCATCTAAAAATCTTGGTAAGATCATCATGGTTAGATGTTGTGCCCAAAATACGTTGTCTTAGGAGATGGTGTCACATAAAAAGAGAATCTGAGAATCAGTTGGGAATTCAGCATTGTTCCTTATTGACATCAGTGTGAAAAAGAGTTGATCAAATATGTAGCTTGTTCCTGCACCTGCTTTTCTGTGAGACAGATTCCATGTCAACAGCACTTAGATGGGAATTTCCATATAATGTGAACACAGATGACTGCCACCAAGGGAACATTTTTCACTTTAATGGATGAAGAATAAGCCTGGCTTTAGGTGTACAGATGCATTCAGAAAAAAATAAGAGCAAATTACCAAGTCAAATTATGAGAGGAACACTCTACTTCATCTATAAGCTCTTCCTTTCAGACACAATTAGTGCGTTTTTTAAAAGTGTTTGTAGCACGATTAATGAGACCTGCATAATCAAGATGAACCACATTTTCATACGAGTAACTATGATTATGTTAAAAGTTTAGCTTTTTGTTATGTCAGTTTAAAGAAAGTAGGGAACGTAATGGCTGATTTTGTCATTCCTAGGGAAGGAAAACTACCTAGCTGTTAAACATGATCCTAAGATCATGAGACAACACTGTTGTACCAATTTAAAGGAACAACCAAGGGATGATCAGAGAGTTTATAAGGTCTCCCTACATTATTACAATGCCAGGGTAATGTGCCAGTCTGAAAAGCTTCACTTCTGACATACTGATAAACTTGTCAAGATTTGGTATCTACCTCTGGCAGGAGGGAACAGATCCTGAAGCTATGGATAGTTCATGCCCTTCCAGAAGCCACAAGGAATAATAATGAATGTACACTTCCTCAAATTCTCCTTTACTATTAACTGAACATTTTGCTTCTTCATACATTCACAGAGCTGAGAAATCATCAGTTAATCAAACTTGGCTTCGCATCTACTATAATCATTTAGGAAGCAAAAAATATTCTATCCTATTTCAAGAAGAGTCATGGAAATCAGGCTATTCTCTGTCAGAAGAAATATGTTTTCATTAGTAGAATCAGTCATTTGGATAGGACAAAATTGCAACACACACTATGTCAGTCAAAACAAGGGACCTTTAATATTTGCTCTGTTATTACTATTCTAAGCCATAAATACACAAATTTAGGCATATAACCTAAAATTATTATTGTGAAATAAGAAATTCTGTCAGGTTAAAACTTCTTCATGCTATCACACCTACACCACTATCAAGACCAGAAATTTAAGGCATGACTGTATTTCTGTGCTCTCAGAGCATCAACACATCATAGGTAAAGAACAATTTTGTACAACTGCTAATCAAATTGATTTTAAAAATAATGTCTGCCTATCATTAGAGATAAGTTTCAGAATACTTAAAATGTTCAAAACTTCTAGCTTTAGCAATTCATAGTTTTTTAATATATGTACATTCATTTGTTTTTCTGATCCTTACCTAGCAGGAAAATTAATATGTATTATATATTTCAATATACTTTTTCTTATTTCCAGCTCAACTGGATTAAAAAATAAATAAAAAAGTGATCCAACCAATACAATCTAGATTAAATTTTATTGATAACCAAATTAACAGCTGTATCTAAGGAGTCAAGGAACAAGGTAGCCAGTTCCCAACATAAAAAAAAAGGTGCTTGATAACTAAATCTGGATTAGTGAGACCAAATGAGCTTAGCTACATCAGGGCAGATAGAATTTTGTTCAGGACAGAAATTACATCTACATTCTTTTGATGTAATGTATCACTTTTTTTTTTGTAATAAAGCAAATTTTATCAAAACAATGTACTACAGCTGGTTTAGTGCAATTGACTGGAAACAGGACTATTACCTTAGGACTTACCTTATCATTCACTACACTTTTTCCATCCCAGGCCCATCCTCGTTTTGTGAAATAATTTACAGTTGCAAATTCAATTAATGCAGAGAATACAAATGCATAACAAACAGCAATAAACCAATCCATAGCTGTTGCATATGCTACTTTGGGGAGTGAATTTCGAGCACTGATGCTTAGTGTTGTCATTGTCAACACAGTTGTTACTCCTGCAAAGAGACAAAAAAACCAGAACATCAACAATATTACTTGCATTTTGAATGCTAATAAAAATACAACACAAAAATTATTTTGGTATGTTTGTGAAACACAGTGAAAAATTTGCTTCTCTAAGTTGGTGACAAACTTCCAGAATTATATTAAAGGTTGCATCTGGAGTTTCCTTTCAAGTATTTTAGTTCCATTTTGTTGTCTAAACTTCCCTTTTTTAATAAGCTGAAAATTTCACTTACATGAGATAGATTTTTTTTTAAGCTATCAGTGCAGGTAAGGGGCAAAATTAACAATTCCTTAATGGTGTATAATTTTAGAAACATAAGAGTAATAATGATTAATATGTTAATGTTTGGTGGCTGATTTCACTGCAATGGCTGCAGGTCTGGCACCCATCTTTACTGACATTACCACACAAATTGACCACAATGATTCTTTTAAAATTTATTTTAAAATTTTTATTTTGCCAGTAGTTTTCTCTCTAACCATCCACTGACACAGCTGAAGACATAAACAGAACAGGTTTTCATTCAGGTAACATGGGTTCTTTTCTAGAGCAGCATTGATTTTAAATGCCAAGTTATTATAACCGTGTATTATGTGTCAGAAAACAAGACTTGATGATCCACGAAGATTGTTCATTCACTGTGGTAGTTATTAAAAGCACTTTGCAGTACTTTTTACATAATGAGGAACCCGTAGGATGCCAAGAATTATGCTCCCAAAAAAAAATTAGAAAAAAAAAAATACATGGGAGGAAAGGAAGAGAAGAACATTTTTCTGAATCAGTTTTAGCAAGCAGAAACCCAAAGCCACAAACTCAGTCTCCGCTCCTTAAGTAAATCAGTTCTCCCACCTCAGGCTGAATCACACTTAGACAAACCAAGCTATTCCCTTTGTGGCATGCCATTAAATATGTCTCCAGAATGAAAAGTGATGCAAAGTGATATACTTAGCACAGATCAGCAAACCTACACTCCATTATGACAGGCAAAGGAGATGCCATGGCAGAAATATGAGTAACAGCAAATCATGGCTTCAACAAATACACAGTCATAAAATTGTTGTAAGAGGATTCCCAAGAGAAAGTAAAGTCATTCTCCCTAAGCCAGATCCTCTGCTGTCAGCAATCTGCCACCTGGGTTCTGCAGGACCTACATAGCTCAAATTTTCCTTCTGCTACAAGGAAAGCAATTTTTACCACTATGTGAAAGGGAAGAAAGGCAGCAATTACACCTACTGAGACCTCCTCAGGTTTTGCAATTTCCATCCCTCCTGTAAATAATCTCTATCTCGAGGGTGCTACAAAGGGTGACAGAGCAAAGCTAAGTGGACTCAGCCTCAGTGCTACTCTCCCTTGATGTGCTTCAAAAGACCAGTGCAGCAGGAAAACAGGCGCAGGAACATCCTGCTGAGTCACACAGTATCCAGACACTTCAGCCACCTTAGCACACATAAATCTCTAATTGCTGGTTTTTGGCCTCCATGAATTAAAGAAGTAGATTTGGCCTGGAATCAGCAGTGACACTGTTGGGATTGACTAGCCTACACAAGGCAAAGGAAGCAGCTCTCATAGTATATGGTATGAAAATGTGTAGACAATGTATTTTGCACAGAACTTATTCTCTCCTAACACTTACATGACATATGGCTTAATTGTTTTCAGCACCTCAGGGAAAAGACAACCTATCTTAAATTTAAAATTATCACATGCAAATTTTAACACCAGTCCTGAGCTGCAGATAAATCACTATAATTACACAGAAGTATCAGTGAAGTGATTGTTTCTCAGACATAAGGTGACATTATTCACATGTAAATATGCAGAGTTGCTAAGGTACTGTTCTGTTTAAGTCCTACCTTTTTGAATAAACTAACCTTCTGGAGGCCTCTTGACTTCTTTAGAAATCTGATTCAAGATTAACTGCTGACCTTTTTTAGTCTCAATTAAAATACTGTGAATTTACAGTTTGTATCTTGCTACCAGTTGATGATTTCTCTGAAAAGTTCAGCAAGCCACACCACTTTCTGACCCAAATGCTAATCAAGCAGCACACCATCAGACAATTGCCAAGGCACTTTCATTTATTCCATCAGTCTGTAAATTCAGTGATGTTCAGGTTCCCACAGTCATTTAACCAGAATTGAGTGGGAAAAAATTGGACGGAAAATTTAATCTGTGATACCTGTCAGTTTAGGATTCTCTAGTCTTGTTATATTGCTATTATTCTTCAGACAAAAGACAGATGATTTTGTACATTACAATTAAATTGAAAAATCAGTATTATCAAGTCTTCTTTATGAAAAAGGACTGAATAGAAATAATCTGCCTCCTAGTCACTGCCAAACCTGAGAGGACTGAAAAATTATTAATGTGCAGGTATATGGTCAACTTGTAAAATATACCCAATTTATTTCACAAAGATTTCACTTAAAACCTCACAAAACCCTTACACTGACCAGATCAAAACCATCCCTCATTGCTTATGCAATTCATAACACTAGTGAACTAAAACTGGTATAAAAATCAGTGATGAGATTGCACCCCTACAATGAAGCAGTCAAAATATTAGAGAGGAAGAAAAATTTAAAATGTTCTGTAAAGACTGTATGATATCTCACTATGGTGTAGAAAGAGCACAGTTTCTCTACTGGTCAGGAACTATCTTCTATAGCCCAGCACCCAGCACATGTGGTGCTGAATGGATGTAAGAGACCATGACCATCCATCAGTTTGTCTTTAAAAACGACCCAAAAGCTAAACCATTGATATTTCCTTTCTCCAAAGAGAACCAAGCATTTTATACTTGACAGTAAATATACCCCATCATCCTTACAACTTTAGTTCTCAGCAGTGCATGCCAATAAAAGCTAATTATTTTCTATCACTATAGGTTTATCCATTCAGGCCAAGACCGGAGCTATCTGATTGCCTGGGATTTTCATTTTCTTTTATGGTGCTGCTTTTCAAATGGCATCTGCTTATTGGAGAGAGGAAATCCATCTCCAGGGCTACAAACTCAACAATTTTCACTGGCACTAAACTTCTATCTGTGGAAAATACCAGCTCTGTTATGTTCATAACAGGGAAGAGGTAACCTGAATACCTAGAAATGCCTAACTAAAAACATACAGTGGAAATTAGAGGAGCTAGCACACATATATAAAGGCTAAAATCTGCCATGATGACTAGTTAATGTCCACATTTGTGTGCAAAAGCCAGGCTAGTCCCCAACAGGGACAAGTTTTTTGACCCTAATTTCACCTCTTGTGTATCAACTGATTTTTCTAATTTGAAAAGGTTTTAGTCAACTAATCAAGTTCTAGCCTTCTTGTGCTTGAATGTGGACATCTCCTTTGAAAGTGAAAGTTAAAGGTCTAATGAATGAGTTACCAGAGGACATTTCTGTAAAATAAGAGGTACTTTCGATTTACAAAGAATTTGTACAAAATGTTTAAAATGTGCTCCATTTCTTATAATGCCAGGCTAGTCCTCCCACTGTTTTATCCTTTCATCACACCACTCCACATAATGGTTGAAGAACATATCACAAAAGGATCGATAAATTAAGTGGTTTGTTTTAATTAGGAAGTTAATTTAATTGTTCTGTTGTTTTGCTCTTTCTCTTTTTTGTTTTAGCAGTAATTGCAAATGTTTTTTGGCAATTAGATCTCTCAACCTGGTCCAAAATCTGAATAGATTCATAAATACAATAGCAGAAAGAAAAGACTTTTGTCCATTTCAGAGATACAGATTACTACTTTGTTTTAAGACTCCAAGAGCAAATGGTTAGAGGTGTACACAAATGCTTGAAAATTCTGGAGATAAGAGTAATGTGAAAGTATTCACCATAACATCTGGCCACATACCATACTGTTTGTTTTTCATTTATGCAATGTATATGTATTACTAGAGAATGCAATACAAAAGGAGTGTACATTGATTTTGCCCAGACACCAGGAGATGTCTGAACTACCATTGTGAGAAAGATTACAGAAGATAGTTCAAGTGCTCTGTCTACCCTTTTACACTAAACGAACCACACAAAACAGCCTTTTTAAACAGCATGGGAGGCCAAGGACCATAACATAATCTATTTCCAGAAAAGTGGCATTCAGTCAGTCAGTTAAACTACGTGTACATATGGTGAAGTTGGTGCTCATGTTGCTTCCTTGTATCCATACCCAACAATGGAACAAAGTTCCCCATGGATTAACAGCTGAGCTAACACCCAAAGCTGAATGGAAAGTGATATTTACCCCAACTGCAGTAGAAGTTGCATGTAATTATGCCACTTTTGGAATATGAGCTACTGTCTTCACACACCACTGACCTGAGAAGACATATTAGTTTGTTTGCAGTCAGCTCAGTCTCTCACTCAGGGCTACAGCTCTCCAGTGCCCACTGCCTACCACTAAAGTGTTATGCCTACAGTTAGCAGAAATTCCCAATTAAGAAATTACACACTGAAAGTCACGAATGGTGAGAGATCTTTAAAGGCACAAAAATTAATCTGCAGCATCTGAAAGGAGAAATAAAGACAGGTTTTTTTCAACAAAATGGGAAAAGATACTTTCTATATACAGAATTGTTCAAAAGGACAGGTCTCTATTACTCAATTCCCATGTGAAAATACCCAGAGAACAAATCTGAACTTTTCTTTGGGTTCCCCTTTCTGTAGTGGCACAACTGAAAGGTTGTACTGGGTTTGCATGGCAAGGTTTTGGTAGTGGTGGACTACAGGGGTGGCTTCTGTATGAAGCTGCCAGAAGCTTCCCCCATGTCTGAACAGATCCAATGGCAGCTGGATCCAAGACAGATGCACTGCTGCTGGCCAAGGCCAAGCCCAAGACTGACAGTGGCACCACCTCGGGGATGATATATTTAAGACAGGGAAAGAAAGTTACTGAACAGAAGCAACTGCAGCCAGAGAAGAGAGGAGTGAGAATATGTGAGAGAAACAACTCTGCAGACACCAAGACCAGTGCAGCAGGAGGGGGAGGAGGTGCTCCAGGTGCTGGAGCACGTGCCTGCAGCCCATGGTGCAGCCCACAGTGAGGCTGTACCCCTGCAATCCATGGAGCTCCACGGTGGAGCAGAGATCCACCTGCAGCCCACAGAGGAGAAGAACCCACACAAGAGCAGATTCCTGACCGTGGCTGTGAGACCATGAAAAACCTACGTTGGAGCAGGTTCCTGGCAGGACCCGTAGCTGCACAGGGGAACCACAATGGAGCAATCTGCTTCTGAAAGAGTGCACCCTGTGGAAAGCACCCACACCCATAACAAGAGAAAACAGACACAGGAGTGCAGCATAAGAATAAAATTATCATGGTGAACTGACAAAAGAACATAGCTGTGTGGATTCAAAATTCTGCATCTTGGACAATATGATAAAAAATAACACAACTACTAATTTTTGTTCTTGACTGCTTCAATTAACAAATAATATATATCTAAACATATTTATTTTAACATTATCATTGCTCTCCATGTGAATTAAAACATAGATAAGTGCAGCACTAAGAAAACTAATTTCTGGTTTTCTGTCACCTGCATCTAATGCTGCTATTCAAATACATGTGATGCTTCTAAATGCTATGACCCATGAAAAATGAAGTGAGAATTCAATAAGCTGCACAAGATTAGTTTTGCTAATATTGTTGACACTAAATGCATAACAATAAACACATTACTAAATGAAACAGATTGTAATCTTGCACTAAATGAAGGCATTATGAACTAGGCTTATTCCCTTTCATTAAGAATGCAATCAAATGCTTTTCAGATTTATTTGCTAGAGAAAACACATTCAAGACTTATTTAATCAACAATGATAAAACTTTCTTCTTCCAATAATTTAAAGCAAAGTTGGAAGCAATATAGCATTAGGCCATAATTCATTTGGGATAGGGTAGGTCAACAATATAAATAGATGCCATAAAGAAAAAGGATTAAGGAGCTCAACTATAAAATAAGCCTCATTATACCAAGCCCTTAATGTTAACCTAGAATTTGACACTATGTTTCAAGAGAATAGAAAGGGAAAAGAAAAGTAACTTCTTCCACATATGAAAAATGAAATGCTAAGCAGTGCTTTGAATAACTAGGAGTTATGTATCTTTGAAAGGAATAGTATTCTAGCAGTCCATCCTTGGCTCTCAAGAAGATACTTGAAATACATTTCTCACTGATTCTCATTGATTAGCAAAAATACTTTCTGGTGTCACTGGAGTCTACCTGCAAGTACCACCCAAACGAAACCGTGAGTGTACCTGCCCACCTCTACTGTCAAGAATAACTCAGTACAGCCAAAAACCAGTAAAAAAACATTAGACAAACTTCATTATGAAACTGTGGCTAACTTCATATTTTTGCAACACATTTAGGCAGGAGACCAGAGCTGCCAGCAGGTATGGAAAAAGACTGGGAGATTCACCTGGGGTTATGTGTTTAGAGAGGCCATTGGCAGCTTATGCTGACAATTTCACCTAAAATGTAAAGAAATAGCTCCTCAGGAAAAATCTAACTCAATGCAGAAAACTAAGCCTGAGGTGAGGAGGACTAGGCTGCTCCATCAGAAAGAGCCTGATCATGTCTTGTTCCCCTGGGTTCAGGGTCTGAGTATAAACTGGCGTGGAGAGGACAGGGATGTCGTACGTGATGTGCATATCTGTGTGGCAGGAGTAAAATACCAGCATAGCAATTGCTTCCTCAATATACCCACTGTGCTTAGTAAACAGATTTCAGGTTTTATGACACTGGGAGGTGTGGTTCTGTTCTTGTGGCCATCCTACACAGTTTCCTCAAGTCATCCTGAAGCAGGTTGCTGTTCATCATCCATATTATACTAACCTCCAGGAGAATAAAGCAGCAGGCTGCTATGCAGATGCTACCTACTTCTAAAAAACCTCAGAAATTAAACAAAAAAAATAAATCAAGAGCAAGAAAGAAGTGTGAGGGAAGGGACACAACATTTCAGGAAAATTATACCAGTGTCTTGTTATTGATGTAGTGCCTTGTTACCAGTGACACAGTAACTAAAAGTATATTTTAGAAAGAAAAGATGTGAGGTTTTTTTTTGGAGAAACCAGTTACACTGTCCTAAATGTATAGGAGTGGGTACAGAAAAGGGCGAAGACAGAGATATAGAAGGATTTGACAGTGTATCTGCAAGGCTGAAAAACAGGAATGTGCATTTTCATAAGCAGAAAAAATGACAGAAGATTTTGAAGAAAGGAAAAAATCCAAACCTGCTTGATAGCTACCTGGGAAACCATGGTAGAATTCTGGTCCCACTAAAACCACTGACCCATTTCATCTGACTTCAATAAGGCTCATATTAAAACCTGCAATTTTCACAATGCTTTGTGTTGCATTTTCTCTGCTGGGAGTGACAGTAAGTGCTTTGTTATGCATCATACTTAACATGCATTGAGTCTGGCCTATTTTTTGAAGAGTGCATGGTGTTTACTGATGACTAATCATATGATTTTATGCAGCATTTCTGATGGCTGATTCCATACAGACATTATTTATGTTGTGCTAATCTCTTTTCCCTTAGCAGCAAACCAATTAAAAGAACTTGAAGTTATGCAAATAAAAAAGACATTTGTTACTTGGCTTTAATAAAGAAGTGTTTTTAAGAGAGACACCATTATATTGCTCTGCTGAAGATGTCCACTGCCTCATAGTACACTCCAATTTGAATTAGTTAGAAAGTGTTGCCCAGACCCCCAGAACAGGGTTTATTTTAAAGAACTGCAGCTTGAAAAGTTTAATACAAATAATTCAACAAAGTCAAATTTAATTTGCTCAATTTACAAATACATTTACAAATTTGCTTATCTACCGAGTACCAAAATACTTGGATAACATCAAGGAAAGTAAGGTATTTCAGAAAATCATCTAAAGTAACTAAATTTACTTTTTAAATAGAAACATTATAATCTTTTTCAATTCTGCAAAATTTTTTTCCTCCTAAAAGAGTCAAGGATATATGTGGATGGTTTTCTTGTATGTACTAATTTCCAAAATCTTTGGGATTCTCAGGAGATGTGTAAAGTGGAGCTGAAAGCTGTTTGGTCTACAAATACTACCACATTCTACAAACACTCTAACTTATATGAAAAAGGCCTTTACCACACAAATGTTTCCTAGCAGCTTCAGCTGCTGTAAACAGAACTAATGCTACCCAGTATACTCACCAAAGACTGTCCTGGCAGGTACAGATTCTCTGTTCAGCCAGAATGACACTTGAGAGAGAATGACAGTCATGATACAGGGGAGGTAAGTCTGAATGACAAAATAACCAATTTTTCTCTTCAAGTGAAAATGAGCTGTCATTACAGTATATTCACCTAGGTGCCACAAACAAAATACAGTGAAAAAAAAGGTTATCATCTTAAGAAAGTCTTCATAACAAAGTTCATTTCTTTGATAAGAGAAGGTTTGCTACATTTATGCGAACCAAATGTGCTAGGATTATATTGTATGGAAGGTATTCTGTAATAGAAAGCATCCTACAGAATATAAGAAAGACTTTGAGTACAGCTATGTCTTATTCTCACTGAGTTCCAGGGAAGATGAGTGTTAACTTCCAGGAACTCTTGTACGTCCTAAGAACTTCAGCCCTGCAGGCTTTAGCACATAAGCAACTCTGTTCACTCAACAGCTCCCTGAGAACTTAATCATAGTTAGAAGGTAATTGTTGGGGTCCACCACAGCCTAGCACATGAAGAACACAGTCTAGAGTCTGGTAGAATAATCCAGTGTTTAATGCCAAAAACATGATGGAAGAGAAACATGGTTGAAACCTGCATGCTTCACCATTTAGTAGACAAAAAGTGACATTTACCATATGAAATCAAACAAATATCCCAATCTTGGGTTACAAACATTAGGATTCAAGACTGAGTTCCAGAGAGCATTTAAAAAGAAGTCACTGGGGATGACTTCACCTCTGCTATCATCAGTTATTATTAATTTGAAAGAAGCAGAAAGGTACTGTTTTGTGTTACCTGTGCCATATATCGACGATGCCTAATAGATCACATTTTGCAACACATATTTCAGTAGCCTTTAACACCACCAGAAATACATTCTTCACTGCAAGTGCCTTTTTCTTCAAAATATCTTTTACTAACCTGTACTTGATTTTACTGTCTCTTTTCCAATTGTTTGGCCTAAAAGATCATACTGGTTCAGTCTTGAGCCATCTGGTGCTACCTGCACTGAATCTGAAGCATTATAAGTCCAAATGTATGTCACTTCTGAAGTTGTGTATGCATCTGTGAGAAATAAAGGAAAATATTTTATCAGCAATTTCAATTAAACAGCTTCCATCAAAAAATAGAAGAGCTACTTATTTTTCAAATAAAAACTCACCCCCCAAAATGTAAAATGAAATAGCAAAAAATGTCTGACTGCTTAAAATAGCTTTACTGTAAAGTAAATACCTACACTCATCAAAGTGACAAGTGTCAAACTTGTGAAAGATTAGATATATGTATCCTAAAAGTCATGGTAAGGCAGATGAAAGGAACAGTAATTTGCAAGATTTAGGATACACAACAATTTTGAAAATTCAATGCCATATTGTTCTGACTTTTTGTTGTCCCCACTCTCAACTTTGGGGTCGTATCACAAGTATTTTATTATCAGCTGAAATCCAGACCTAAATATGGGAAGCCAGGTTCAGTGACAATGTCCTTGCAGTGGCTCTGTGCCATGCCTACCCTCTTAAATCTCACTCTTTGCCATCATTTTGGGGGACAGTACATTCTTGATCAAACACACATTTAGCTTGAGCTCTGTCAAAATAAACTGGAATGAAAGCAAATCAACACTGCATTTTAAACAGCATTAATGCCTCAACAGCAAGTAAGGACGGAAAAACCAAATTGAGTATGACCTGCAAGTTTTTCCAGTCTAATACCCTATTAACAAATCGAGTATGAAAGGAAAAGGGTAAACCACTGATGGAAGAAGTTGTGTGTTCATTTTGATTGACTGAGACAAGTACATTTTAAATCTTATACCATAACTGCAGTGCAGTGAAAAAGAAAAGCAACATTCCTGTTGATCTACAAACACTTTCACTTGAGAAATCTCTAGAGGCCCAGAAAGAAGCTTGTTCATGCAACTAGCCATAAATTGCATGGCTAACAAAATCTAGCAGGTGGGTAGCATGTAGAGATTTTTAACACACAAGAATCTCTGCTTTAATGCAAACCAGCAGTATGACCAATTGTTGATTTGTCCCCATCCTCCCGACTGTTGGCTGGAATTTTTGGAAAGGATAAAGAAAGGCAATATATTAAGCTACAGCTTCTCCCATACATTCAGTTTGGCTTTTCTCTTATGTGTAAAAAAAGAGACATTCATACAGGCAGATGATCCTCCTAGCAATGTAAAATTAGCAGCATATGAAGAGCTGTGACAAATATATACCACTGGCAAACTTGCCTCAGTTAAAACAAAATCCTCAGGATTCCTGCTTATTTTCACCACTATTCATGATTCAGATTCTATCCCAGAATAAAAGCTGAAATATGCACAGTTGTCTAGAAATGAGTCCTAGGTAAAGAAATAAAATGTGTGTGAAGCCATTCAAAATGAACAGAAAGTCTCCTAGATGTGCCAACAGGCTGGAGAACAGGTGACTATGGGGGTAAGGAAAGACAGCCTTTCTAAAAATCACATTGCTCACAGTTAGAATTCTCCTGATTATTACAAAACCAGAAACCATGGGCAGAGAACAAAGAACAATCTGGCAAGAAAAGAAACAAACAAACAAGACAAAGCAAGAAAAAAAAAAAGAAACTGTTTACACAAAGTCTAATATACCTAGTCAGAAGGGTTTCCAACTTAGGAATGCAAATGAAAATACTATAAAGTAGCCTCTTGGCCTGAGTATGTGTTTCATTATTATAGGGAGGTTATAAGTTGGTTTGAAGCTACATGAGTCTTTTTCTCCTCCCACACCTTACAAATCAAACATATCCTGCAGTGCACATATATGTAATTATTAGTCAGTAGTCACTTTTAGCTAACATCTCTTGTGTTAGTTATTTAGGCTGAATTATGTATTACAAATGTAGTATTTAGGGGGCAAAAAAAGGCTCCATGATAAAAATATTAATTATCATTATCTTTTATCTCCATAGCAAAGATTTCTCTCTCATGTAGAAATATCAGAAGCAAAGACTTGGTTTAATTTGCCCCAAACTCCAAGGAAAAGGGGCAACTCAGGGCTATGGAGAGAGTGTGCACAGTACTCTTAGAATAGTCATCTGGTTAAGGATATCCTTAGTGGCAGCATCTCCCCCGGTTTGTAATCTGTGGTGGCTACAATGATTGCAAAATCAGTTAGAATTTAAAGGTATTAACTGGTTTCCTCAAAAACACAGTCCCTTTCCTGGGCCTAGCAGAGAATACAGGCTGCAGCCAAGGAAAAAAAAATGAAACCTTTTAGTGTACAAAATCCAGGAAATATATATAATGAAGAAGATGACTAGAGGCTGCAGTATTAGTAAATTAAATAATGCTGCTGGTAAAATAATACTACTGAGATCAAAATCCTCCTGTATAACATGCAAATGCACTAATGACTGAAATTTTTTCTCACAAGAAGCCATTTGTTATTGCCTTCATTGACTAAGAACATAAACCCAACAAATATTTACATAGGTCTCTAATCTGCTCTTTGCTAATACTACACAGGCTACATGCATCCAGGTCTGTGTTCACCAGTATGATTTGTACACTGCCATAAAAGTAGATGAGTGCAGTGTTGATTAGGCAGAGTTTTTATTGCTAACTGGAGTCATGAAATCTTGGAAATACCCTAGAAGATGCAACACTGAATAGAAAAAGAGATTTTGATGTCAGGTTACAAATTCTTTTACAAGTACCATCTTGTGGTTTCAATTTCAATTGTGGGTTTTAGTGAGAACAACTTATTCAAACAAAATTATGCTGAGTAATGTTAGACATTCCCTATCCAAAGGCTATACTACATGTTATATACTTACAGCTGCCAAATTTCAGTGGGCATGAGTGAGCATCCATAGGGAAGTCCTCCAAGTGCATTGGACATTCAGCTTGGACTGTAAGCCTAAAAGGAAAAGAGCACTATGCACTTCAGTCATTTAGCAGGACAGAAAATCAGTTCCACAGAAATGAACAGAGTTCATGCTGATTTAGGAGATTAAATTGAAATTTTGTATTAAACCAAAATAAAATTTAAATCAGCTCTTGCTTCTTCCCTTTTATGTGCTCCTTTGGAAGGCATTTACTTATCACATCAAAAACATGAAAAAGCTGACCTCAAAACTATGAGCAAAGGCCATTTAGAGAAAAATATAAATTATGTAATTGCAGGCTGTTAAGAACAGTAATTTTCTTCTCATAATATTCTGAGGTACATGTGTGCTTATATGGGTCTCAAAGGCTCATTATAAAAGCATATAAAATACAGTTAATTTGCCAAAGAACTGTGCTCCAGAGGCTTCTGAATTAAATTTTTCTACAGTTTGAATGGAAAATGTAGAGAAATATATGTGTTCTTTCAAACGATTGCTGCTACTCATTCTCAGTGTTACTTGAGATTATTCTATTTATGTATAAGCATGACAGCATATTAGCAGTGCATCCACTTTTTCTCTTTCTGTTAAAAAAATCTCAGCAATATGCCAGTATCATATATGGGAATTTGTACACGAAAAAAATAATTTTATACAGTTTGAAGAAAGCTATTTACAGATTTTCCCATTATTTTTAATTTAAATAAAGAAATCAGTAAAACAGAGCCAAGAATAAAACTCTGTTTTTCCCTCCTATTCTGTAAGTCTCCTCTGGGTTAAGATTTTTTTTCTGAATGCCTTTGTTCCTCTTAATACAGCCTCAAACATCAGCTACATCTTTCTGCACTCCCGAATAGTGTGGTTCATAGTAATTGTATTCTCTATTATGTTCTGCCACTCTTTCACCCAAAAATATTCCATGTTTCTACTCCCTTACTCCCCAGGAATGTTTTTCTGAATTCAAGGGGTGGAGAGAGAGAAGAATCAGCAAACAGCTGAAGGCAAAGGAAAGAACTGCATGAGCTTCTCATATAAATCACACAATCATTTTATGTAGACACAGATAAAAATGGCAGTTTAAAACTAGACAATAAAAACAGTTTACACATTAATCTCATACCCTCAACTTACAAGTCATGAAAATGCTTAGTTAAATCTAGTTGACATGACCCAGCTTACATCTCATCATGGTTTCAAACAGCATTTGTTATTACTTACAGCATAAGATATTAAGATTCTTGAGGAAGAGAATTTGTCAGTTTATACAGATCCTAGTTCAAATATTGATTTGAGCCCAAGAAAAAATACTATAAATGGGGTCTCAATTTGCTGGGGATTTTAAGTCTACATTCACAACAGCTATCCATAAAAATCCAAGAAAAAGAAAGCCAGGAATTTCTGGAAATTTGTATTAAAAATTTCAAAAAAAATCATATAGGTAATGTTATTGCAAAAAGAGTCATTTAAGAAGAAATCTATGCATACAGGATATTTATAATTTTTCATGCATTATTTTCGAAGCAAATTTAATACATTTTACCAGGTAAATATTTATCTTAGCTGCTAATCATGCACAGGTTGCAAAAATTAAAATGCTAAAATATTGTAATTAGATATAAAGAAACAGTTATTACAGAATAAGACAAATTTTCCTTGCAGTTCTTGCTGGAAAGAATCTGAGGCCTTGTTAACTCTTTATTGTTTCTCTTTGGTTTTTTATTGCCACTAATCTTAATAATAAATTTGCTTAAGAGCTCACACAGTCAGTACAATGGGTGCAGTAACAGGCAAAACTCATATACTATTTTAATTGTTCTAAGACAGAGTTGGCAACCTCTGAGTCTTCTTAACAATTCTTACAGAGTGATTCCCATCTGAAGGACTCAAAGCACTTTATGCAGGTAGTCAATATCTTTAATGCATTATAGAGATATGAAAATGGATGCACACATAGGTAAAACTCATTATCAGCCAAGAGACTTGTAACAGAACTGGAAACAAAATGAACATTTTCCTAGCTTTCTTTCTGCTGGGACAGATATAAACAAAGGAGAGTCCTCCCAGAATATTATTTAATTGTTACCTGGAAAAATCACATCAAGAAATAGCTTGAGTAGAGAACAGATGAACAGACCTACCTCATGGTGTACAAGAGAGTCCCATCATCTTGGATTCGTAGAAGCTTGTTGGGCATTGTCATGTTATGAGCCACTGACTTCTTCCCATTATGAAAAAATGTATCTGGGGTCCAGATTTTGCTGGCCATTAGGTTGTTCAATCGAAGAATGTTCATGGGGCCCTTAAATTTTAATCTCTCATCCTTCCATTTCTGACGGAAGAAAACATCTATTGTGTATTCCTGTAAAGGAATAAACAGATGCTTTTTTTGACACAATGAAACACTAATCTGCTTTATGAGAACCAAACCAGAAAAGCTCTAGTTTCAAAATTCCCTTGGTTAAATTGTCAAGGGAGAACAATCACCACACAAAATTGTATAATAGTGAGAATAATAAACAGGAAGTCAAAGGATTAAGGGCACATTAGCTGTTATTTTTATATCAAACCCTTGCAATAATTAGATTTCTGTACTGGCTATACATAGTATGTGTGACAAGGGTAATTTTGGTAAACACAGCTCTTTTGCATTAAGAAATAAGTAAAAAATACATAGAAGGACATTAAACAGTTACAGAATCACAGAATCATTAAGGTTGGATAAGACCTCTGAGATCATTCCTTCAATATATCTAGGCAGGATGATATAAGGAAGACTCTTCCAAAGAGGAATGTAAGGCTCTGTACGGGTATGGATTTTATGAGCAAAAGTACATAGGTAGGAAACAACAGCTGATGATTGACAGGTGACACACAGTGTCTGTGAAACTTTGATGCCTAATCTTGGGAAGGCAGTACAGCCTGGGGAAAGGGATGCAAGCAGTAACAGACTGATGACCTAGACCAAATGCCCATGTCAACCAGGACTGGTTATCCCATCTGCTGGGTTTTGTTGCTGTTCTAAACAAACAAAAAAGATACTGATTAATCATTGATAATGTAAATTCATCAACTAACTTCAAATTGGATCTGAAAATTGATTTAGTGTTTTGCTACTGTCAGCACAGCATATAAATTGGAAATGGAAGAGCTTAAAAACTTTGTTGGAAGCAAACTGTATTCTGTATATTGGCAAATGCTACCTCGATGCAATTTAGTTTTGTTGGACAGGTGCAAAATGGTCTCATGATTTCAAAACAGTACTATGTTGCAACAGTCTGTACTATTGCAATTGCACCACATAAACCACTTTACATAAACCATTTTAAAGTATCTTTGAATGGACATGTCCTAATAAAATTCAACCAATATAAAATATTCAAGTGATTTCAGTATAACAGTGATTTCAAGGAACTTAGCCCCCACCACTTTCTGCTGGTTCCCTTATGTGCTGATTCTTCTTAAGGTTCTTCTCTGTCAATCATACAGCAGTACAAAAGGAATGCTGACTAGACAGTGATAAGTGACAGCTCTTTGCAGCTCCTTTGGTCTGCGAGCCAAGGAGCAGTGAGGACCTTTTCCAGGTCAAGGCCAGAGGCTAAGAAGAGCATGTGGAATAAAGGAAAGAGAATTCTGTTACCTGAAGGAGCATGGCAGGGGCAGGAGAGAAAGCAGTTCTCATTAGGAAATGTGACAAGTGCAAGATCTTTTTGAAATTATGGATACTTATAAACTAATTGACAAAAAGCACAAGCTCAATTTGTAGCTGTACCAAGAGGTCTTACATTAATACAATAAAATTGTCATTTTTATAATTAGAATTATAACTAATTGAACTTATATTAAATTAAACTAACACTACGGTATACTGAAAATTAATTTGCTTGATTTTCTTTAATGCCAGATGCTATTACCTCTAATAATATTTTAGCAAATATGCCTGTGAAATACAAAATTATGAACCTCTAAAACATGTATTTCTTTGGCATTATACCTGATTTTGTACAGTCTCTCATCACTGCCAGAGACACTGTCTCATGGTAAGTAGTTTGCTCATTTTTCTATAATAGATCACATTCACTTGTCCTCTTTTATTTGCTGATTTATATGTTGTTTTATTTGTCAAACATCATGTGACTTAAAATCCCATTTACAAATAACAAGTTACCTATCAGTTCAGCTGTAGACCAGGGAAAGTGACAAAATGGATAAAATCATGGAGGATCAGGACAGGCAGGAACAGGGTGCTTGAAGTAAGGGAAATATATGAAATCTGGATAGAAATACCAGGAAATTCAATGAAAGCAATTGCTCTAAGAGCCTCCTTGTGGCTTCTGTCTGATGGACTTTACCAATAAGTCACTGCTATGCATGGCAAGATTGATGTTTGAGGTATAAAGAAGTGGGAAGGAGCCTGAGGGAGCAAGACTTTGAAATCCCAATAAAATTCAACAAGAGTGAGTCCTACAGGTTCTTTTGACAAATATCCCTGCACATAAATGATTAGAATATAAATCCGAACTTTTTTTGCAATGTTTCCATCAATAAGGAACTTCACAGGACCTGCTTTTTCACTGTCTTCCAGCATATATAAAAAGAATTACAAGAGAGATAAAATAGAAAAAAAAAAGCAGACATGAAATGGCACTAAATCAAAACAGCAACATTTCAAAAAACCACATCTGCTGCATGGCAACAGCTTAGACAGTAGAATAAGCAGGAGAGAATCTGAGCTGCAGCCTTGAAAGAAACAACTGATAAATCTCTGGCTGATCCACAGGTAATTCTAATCTCTCTATCCAATCCATCCTGGAGATCTTTATTTCAGAACTCTCCATTTAGAAGATGCAAACAGGGAATAAGCCAAGGTTTGGTGCGAATGATGATAAACAGCCCCTCCTTCCATTTACCACAATAGTAATAAAACCTCACATAGTTCTTAAATAACTTATCTTTCTATAACCTCCATGCATCTTTTTTTCAAAGGAAGTGCTGGGATCTTAATTTTGTGTGAAAGGAAACTAAGGTACAGAGGCAAAATTAATTTGCCATGGTCCATTTAGAGTGATTATGAAAAGCAAAATACAATCCATGCCTCTGCATCCCAGTGATCCCATCTTCCCTCCTGTGCCGAATCTATTCTACTTATGATCATGAATATCCCTATTGATGTTTACCATATAAAATAAATAAAAAATAGGAAACTATGGAAGCAATCTGGATATAATCAATGTGCCAAAAAGCAAGTATTTATAAAAAGATACTCCATAAAGATTTTGTAAGCGATTCCTATTCTATATATGTACTACTTTGTGGTAAATGCTGTGTAATATTTACTTTTCAATCAAAACTAACATTCTCTTAGGAAAAGAAATCTGGACTCTAGAAAATAATACTCAAGTTAATACATGATTCTAGTTTCATTCAATCTGCAGACATTGTCCTGTATAAAAAACCTATGCTGTCTCTGGGCACAACCAAAGTACTCTCCAGTATATAGTGCAGCATCTCCACAAAATCACAGGAGCATACTTCCAGCTCTTCAAAGGACTCCTGTGGTCATTTCTAGAAAAGAAAATACTTCCTACTAATTTGTGTCTGAAATGGTGCTTTCACAGCTAGACTCTAACACAGTATAATTAAACATAATCTTTCAAATATGTATTATACCAGATTATACAAAATTTTAGATACAGATGATGAGATTCTTACTACAGCATTAAGAATCACTTGAGTCTCTGCCAATTCAATGAACCAAAGAATAAAATGATGAAGAAATTTCCTTCTTCTTTAAATATGTAGTTGTTGTGCATAACCGCATGCACTGTTAAAAAATAAATTAACATCTCTGGCAGAGGCTTTACCTGACCTGAGTATAAGCAATTCCTACTCACTACATGGTCGTCTTCTTTTCTTGCTAAGGCCAGATTTATATGGGAAAAGTTCAAACAACATAAAACTCCCATCCTCTCAGCTAATGGTCAGCAGATTTTGGCAGTTTTTGCATCAGGAGTGAAGATAGATATATTCCAAACATCTCAAAAAGTTTTAAGTGCCCATTAGTAAACAGTATTGTCCTGAAGCAGGATGAACATTTTATTAATCACCTTCTGGAATACAGCATTTTGTTTAATGAATAGTTCAGGCCAAAGTTCCTCATTCCCTACTTGTAAAGATTTTTCTCAGTCAATTCACTGAAGTATGTTTTGTCTTTTATTTGACCACTCTTAAATAGTGACACTCATATGTAACCAAGAAAGCAAATTTTAAATACTGAAAAATATAAAATTTTTCAAAGACAAATACAAAAAAATTTAAAAACAAGGAAAGGGAAAAAGGCACATATATCTTTTCATTGATTTCTTAAAGGCAGTCTGTGGTTTATATGTTGATGAGATAAACACTTAAGATTCATGGACCTAAATCTCACCTAACCAATAGAGGGCCTTCATATTAATATTTATGCCCTTATGTTAATTTTTATGTTAAAATTATGTTTTGACATTAACATAATTTTTTCATTTTAATTCTTAAAAAGTACATCCTTGTTGCCATATCTACGTTAAGGAAATGTGTCACTTTTCTCTCAGTTTAGCTTAAAAACATTGACAATATTAATATGTAATTAGTGCTGTTGAATACTACCATGATTGGTATGCATCTAAGCATCAATAATTCACTTTTAAGAAAACCAAGAAGGAGTTTTAGATAGAAGACAAAAAAAAATATGCTGCTATTCAAAGAAAAATAATCTGACCAGTCAATGCATTCTTGTTGTAATCTGATATTTGTGTGTTTGGCGAGTGCAAGTTTGTGATGCAACTTCTGCAAATCAATTTATCAAACTTCCACACTAAGCATTTTGCATGGATGCTGAAATTACCTTTACAGTGAGAGGATCAAATAATTAGTTTGTTGCCTAGGTTGTTTCATTCTCTGCAGGAGAAATCTATGCATGGTGTAGATGGCATTCTCGAGGCCTAACACACTACAACAGTCTGCATTTGTCCAGGGGAGGGCAACAAGGCTCATGAAGGGTCTAGAACACATCTTACAAGGAACAGCTGAGTGAGTTGGGTTTGTCTAGTCTAGAGAAGAGGAGGCTTGGGGTGACCTCACTGCTCTCTACAACAACCTGAAAGGACGTTGTAGTGAAGTGGAGGACAGTTCTGCCACACCTAGTGAGAGGACAAGAGGAAACAGCCTTCAGCTGAGGCAGGGGAGATTCAAATTACATGTTAGAAAAAAAATTCACTGTTAGGGTGGTCAGGCACTGCAACAGGTTTCCCAGGGAGGTGGTGGAGTCACCATCCCTGGAGGTGTTCAAGAGGCATCTGGATTTGGCCCCGGGTGATATGGGGT